GGGAAAGAAATAGCACAACCAGAATGCTTCCTTCAGTTAGCAGCTGCTTTTTAACAATTTTTCATGCTGGGCTGGAAGCAGAGCTGTAAGAGCAACACTGTGTTTCTGAAGGATGGATAGGATGGGAAGCAGATCAGAAATGAAAATCAAAATGCAACAAGGCAATTTTGGTTTCCTAAGTGCAGCAGAGGAATAGGAGACAAAGGAAGCAAAGGATGAAAAGGGAACAACCTTCCATGGCTAAGACAGAAACCCAGCCTTGCACAATGGCAGTGTCAGGCCTGAGTCAGTATTTTGCTTGTCTGCTTCATTCCTGTGTTTTAGGCACAAAAATGTTTAATAGTGTAGCAATTTCTCCCACCCTTCTATTTAAACAGCAGTAGGTTTGTATCTTGAACTGTTTTTTTTATTTTTTTTTTTTCTTCCTCTCCCCCAGTCTGGAGCTTTCAGCCACCCAGAGGAGGGGACTTTAGTTACCCCAGGGGATTTGCACACTGGTGCTTGGTGTTGCAGGAAGTATTGCTTCTGTTTCATGGTATGAAATGTGTGCCACACCAAAGCTCAGGTGGTACTGAAGAAATCTTTTAGCCCCTTTGTGCCCTTCAGGGCCCTTTTTCTGGAGCTGTTAGCAGCAGCTACATCATGCCTGCTAAGACTCAGTTTTGTGCCACACAGCCACATCTGCTAGCCGAGGAGGGATTTGCTGCAGCTGAATATAATGAAAATCTTTCAATCTGACTTTGACTTCCGTCCAGCCAGAGCTGCCTGCAGATTCCTGGAGACTGATGATCATTCTTTTGGCAGCAAGAGTAGCTATTGCTCCAGGAGTTCATGCAACACCTCTATAACATGTCCACCAATGATATTCTCTTGTACACAGAGGAGTACAGTTTGGTTCTTTCTGATGATATAACATTACTGGATGTGACATTTTCATATAATTTTAAAGTATTGACAATCAGGAAATAATCTTTTTAAAGGAGAAATACCAAATAATTCATTCAAACTCCTTGATCTGACTGTCAGGGATGGTTTTTGTTTCCAAAGACATGAGTTTGAGTGGTGTACTGAGAAGCCTGTTAAAGCAGCACTGCCTCTGTGCCCCTTACAGATGAATTGCTTTTCCTGTCTTGTAGAGGCAGGCCATGAACTAAATTCTCTAAATAATTATCAAAGTTGCTGGAGGCTGCTCTGCATTTATTACTTGGGGTCTGTTGGTTTTGCTTTGGCCCTCCGTTTCCCTATTACTAAAATAAATACAGACCATGCCTGTTTTACAGGGCAAATGATAAATGTGGGTTAGCTGGATTGTTAGGATATCCAGGGCTGAGGAGTTACTATGATGCCAAGCAGACTAGGGAAAAAACTTCAGCTATAGGTGTATATCTGCACATTTAGTTTTGTTTCTATGTGATGTGTGTGTAGGATAGCTATGTGTGAGATTTTGATGGCATTTCTTTAATTAGTCTGCTCCAGTGGGAAATGTAAGTCTGGAGGAAAACAGATCTTTTGCAGCAGGCTTGTGAGAGAACAGCTCTCCTATGGAACTGGCTGAGGTGTGACCAGCCAGTGGCCTTGTTTGCTGCTTGATTAGAGGCTCCTCTGACTCTAAGGACTAAGTTTGGCCCCTTTGACACATGTTCCGTGTGTGGGCTGTTGATGAATGGAGAGCAGATCTAAAAATCATTTATTCATTTTCAAACGAGGCATCTTGTGTGCCTCTCAAGTGAAGGTTGAGTGGATATGAGGGAAAACATTGCAATTCCCAGCTCCCTGTCCATTCAGGTTCATAGAAGAGCACCACTCAGGTCTCGGAATGGTAGGAGCTTTCTAGCTCAAACAGATGGATTTCCTATGTGACAAATGAGCTGGGCATTACCATGCCTCTGCTGGGCTACAGGGCTCACCTGTGTCTCCTGAAGGCTTGAGAAGCAGCACATCTGGCTCCTGTATTATTCCATTGTGACAGATTATCTTTGGCAATTAACCTCCCAAAAAGTTGATTTGAAGGCTCCCCCTCCTTCCCTTCCCCAGTGCCACTCGTGTGCAGGCACCGGCACAAGGATCTGGCCTGGACATTGTCCTTGCAGACCTGGGGAGCAAGAGGCCTGCTGTGCAAAGGTGCAACAGAGCCCCCAGCCAAGAGGTTTTGGCTTCTCTTCCCCTGCATTTGAAACACTCACTGGGGAGGCAGAGTGGGAGGCTGGTGGCAGCCCTTACACCTGGCACTGTGTCGTGTTTCTGCCTGGCAGGGGGGCTGGGTTTTGATACCTGCTGTGAGCTGTCACTTGTGTGGAAGTTCTGGGTTGGTTTAGAGTGTTTCACACCAAATACATGAGAGGTGAGCTGCTACTGGCACGACCCCTGCCCGTACCCCGTGGTATTGGGCACAGCCTCAGCCCGCAGGGTGGGCAGCAAGGACTTAATCTGTGCTCTTGCAGTGTAGCTTTGGCTGTGGACCGTGACAGTCAGTAGCTCAGAGAGACACTTCTTTCCAGTCAAGAACCCTTCAGGCCCAGCAGTTCCCATTTCACCCCCTATGTAGCAAAACAAGAAAAACAAACAATGCCCCCAAGAAGCAACTCTAGAAAAAATGACATGCTTAGCTAGGGATCAGTGAAAGAAATTGTAAATAACAATCCCCAACAAAACAAGAAAGCACAATAAGACACCAAACCATGCTTGTGTGTATCTTCCACAGACCTATAAGCACTAGGTGGTTCATTAGCTCTTTGGAGAGAGCTCTTCCAGCCTCCTAAGCACAGCACTTCTATTTTTAAATGTGCAACTTCCTGTACATACTGTCCTTCATATTATACCTGGTTGTGTTACAGGCTCACAGGGTTTACACTCTGATTGTGAGCATGGCAATACCTGCTCAAACAAAATAATGCTTGTGTGTTTGAGTAGAACAACTTATTGTGGTCACTTCTACATCAAGACACAGTGTAGTTGTTCCTGTGCAAGGGTTTTAATTCCCTTTTGTGAAGTTTTGTTGCTCTGATATAGTGTGTGTGTGTGTATCTTTCTTTTTATTTTCCTGCCATTTAAAAATTACTGTTCTATTAGATTTTGAACATCTTTAGATTCAGTCACACCTCTATAACTTCTCTCTGCACACCCTTAAATTCTTCAGTAACTGGGAGGTGGATGAATTTTCCTGATTCTAGTTTGCCTCCTCCATACTTTTTTAACCTTTGAGTTTATGAAGCATCTCTTAAATGCACACTCAAGGGTGTTGAAAGCTTCTGTTCTGTACACCGTGTGACTGTGCCTAACTGCATTGTGAGAAGTGTTCCTGCAGAATCATGGTTGGCACTTGGCACCTTGGTATAGCCTGCTTAAAGAACTCAGGTGCTGCATGCAGACAGAGAAAGCAGTTGCCAGAGTTTCTTGGGAAACCATTAATGCTTAAAGTAATAAAAAGAAACTCTTGTAGCAAGTGAAGGAGCTGCTTTACTGATGGACAAGAGATAAAGCAACAGAAATGCCAAAGAGGGACTTGAATGGGAACCCCAGGTGCACAGGGGAGCTGGGATTCATGACAACACTGAATGTGGGCCTCTGAAAACCTGTTTGCAGATTTCACAGGCTGTAAGGTCTGTTCACTCCCCCCGGCAGACTTGGTACTTCTAAGAGGCTTAGGTAGCTCCGTAGTCATAGACATCAGCTGTGACTCTGACTCTAAACATCAACAAGAGATGACTGAGAAACCCCTCCAGTTGCAGGATGCAGCACCCCATGTTGACTGGCTGCACGTCTCAGTAAGACGAGTGGTGTCGAGGATGCCTTGAGAGCACAGAAGGATGGTTGTGCATTTGTGCAGGTGCATGCTCCAGTATTTGGGCCCTGGCTTGAAGGTTTTTCAGGTGGTCTATCTAAAACTCTTGATTTGATGCTTAATTGTGACACCAGCATACCTTTCAGAGAATACTTTTGTTCCCATGACTTCGGGACTGACTATTGAGACTTGAAGAGTTCATAAGTCTGGATTGTGTTGTGTGCTGCTGTGGCAGAACTTGGGCAAGTAGAGGCACAATTTTTGAGGTGTTTTCTGATTTTAGGTGTTATAAGTTTGAGAGTTACAGTTCCACATATTGCAGTGCCCAAGTATGTGGTGGGCAAGTTCTGCAGAGGACCTTCCCTACTTAGTTTCTGATAACCTCAAAGTTGTGTGTTTAAATTTAGTCATTCTTAAAAGTGATACAGCTGCAGGATGATAGTGTGTCCATCTGAGACATTTTACATAATAGTTTCTTCTGTGCCATTTCCTCGTGTGTTCTGACATCTTGTCTTGCCAGTTTCAGCCTGTGATTTCTGGCATGGACCAGTTCTAGGCACACAGCACTGTTTTCCTCTAAGGTTTCCTGCATTGGGCACAAGCAAACACGCACTACAGCTTGATTCAGCTGCTGCTTCTCAGCTCAGCCTCTCTGATGGTCTCCTCTGGGTGTGCTCTTTGGTTACACTGGCACCTCTTCCCTCTTGGTTTCTGATTGCACTGTAAGGAAAGTCTCATCTGCCCAGGTGAGAGCTCACATTCACCCTACAGCCAGCAAAAAGCTCTACTGTTATTTCCTCTGTGTTTTAAGAATTCTCTTTTGCAGCAGATGTGGCTACTATTCCTTTCCTCTTGTGCACTCATTGGGTTAGTTCCCAATGCTTCTCCAGACTAAAAGTCTGACTTTCTTCTGTAAAAGTGGCCAGCTCTTTCCCATCCCTCATTTCCTTTGTTGATGGCAGCAGGAAAAAAACAAATGTGAACTCATCCAGAACTTTCGAGGCAAGGAAAACAAATGGGGCCGTAGTGCTGGAAGCAGATGGATTTCTCCACAAAGCTATGCTAGTGCTGCCACTCCAACAGCTGGGCAGATTTAGCCTCTGCTTGGAAAGCACAGCTGCACTGAGAGCACAAAGGATCACACCATGAGCTCAGTTGAGGCAAGAGGTGCCTGAGTGGTGGGGAGGCTTGATAGGAAACATCTGCTTTTGAAGCTAGTAGCTCTGAGGCAGCTGTCAGAGATGTCCTGTGAGCTCCCCGTGTCTGGAGTTGTCTTCAGCTGTCAAAATTCACCATGCTGAGGGCCCCCCCAATGGGACACAAACAGGGAGAGAAGAGAGGAATGGCATCGGGCTGTGAGGAAGGTGTGAGGTGTAATTGTTGCTTTCCTCAGTTCTTGTTTTTACAGCTAATTTGGGGGAGGGAGAGGATTCAGTGAGATCTTGCAGGACAAGAGAAACCCTTTCATAGCAGAAATCTTTGTCTCTCAAATTTTTTTTCTGTACTTCTTGCATATTCCAGAGGTTGTCTATGCAGATGTCCTCAATGTTTGCTCCTTCCCTTGCTTTGACAAGCTCTCTGGTGGTGTTGGTGAACCTCTCAAGCCTTGCTTTTCTTGTCCTTTTGTCTCTGTTTCTATAATGTGGCTGCCTGGATTTGGGAGTATTTCCCTGCCTGCTTTGCACCACTGTCAATGCCACATGGCAAGGCAGAGGGGAGGTGGCCTGAGCAGGCGTACCCTAGTGTGGGAGAGTGCTCCTGTGGGGAGTGCATGTGTGTTTGTGTGTCTGAGCCAGCCTTGCTGCAGAAATCTTCACGCCCCTTTCTAACCTGGGTTCTTTTGCTTCACTCACCTGTGTCATCTGAAGGTCTGAAGGCTCACAGTGGCAAAACTCAGCCTAGCTTCTGTTTTTAATTTTTTTTTTTTTTTTTTTTTTTTTAGTGAGTGAAATCTGCTGCTGTCAGGCCACCTCCATAGTGAAGTTAAAGGAAAAGATGATTAATTCTGTGTTTGCAAACCCTGTTGTACAGAACAACTTAGACAGGATGTTTGGGCAAGTCAGAGATCTCTTGTACCCGCTTTGCACTGGGATTTTGCTTTGCAGTGTGGCAGGAAAAAGTAGTGAGCTAAACTGCTCCCAAACAGAATAAATCAATTGTCTCTGTTTTCTATATCCTACAGACTTTCTTCAGTTAATTATTTGTTGCATAGACCCACTGTCCCTTGACTTATAAACTAATTGTTGCCCTTAGGACCCTCTCTAGTTGCTTGTATGAAATCAAAACACTAAAGCTGGCTCTGCTGGGAAGAGCAAAACACAGCTTTACCCACATCACGTGACTTGGTGCCTTTGTGGTATCGTTGGCCAAACTTGCCTGTAGGTCACCATCTGTGGGCTCACCAAGCCAGAGGGCTCTGTGGTCTCCCTGTAATACTTGGGGTTTGCGTGCCGTAGGGCTGTCGTGTAGCCCATCTGCAAGACCATTTCTCTTTATTTAGAAATGCCTGACTTCTTACATGTTCTTTACATGGGAGAGTAACTGATGGTCTTCTCCTTCTGTTCACAGTCTGAAGGCACGAGGCTGCAGAAGGACCTCCGAACTTACCTGGCTTCTGTAAAAGGTGAGCTCTGCAGAAGCAGAGAGCCGTTTCCTCCCTAGTGCTTACCTGTGCAGTGAGGCTGCTGCAGCCTCCTTTTCTTGGTGTTTCCTCAGGCACGAGTTGTAGGGAGGATCAGCCTTGTGTGGGTGGGAGATCTTTCAGAGTCCTTCAGGGCCAGCTGGGACAGAATAGGGTTTTTTTTGCATGCCAAACAGGTGGTTCTGTCTTTGCCAATAGACTCTCATATCTTTTGCAAGGGGAGGGCGAACACAAGAGATTTGGTACAATTGCATCCTCAGTCCCTTTCTCCCTCTGGTTACCTTCCATTTCCAAGGATGGTGGCAGTACCAAGGGTCAGACATTCTGTAAGAAAGAGTTTAGCATTTGCTCAATACCTCCTGTGTCCCCATTCCTCAGGATGAGGGTTAAACTGTGAGGAGTATGCTATTTTCCTCTTCCTGAAGCAGTTCCCTCTTCTTTCCTAGCTATGCATGAGGCCTCCAAGAAGCTGACAGAGTGTTTGCAGGAAGTTTATGAGCCAGACTGGCCTGGGAGAGATGACACAAATAAAATAGCAGAGGTAAGACTGTCCAGGACGTGGGGTCCCCAGGCTTGGTCTGGAAACGAGCTTTGGAAGCTGTGTATGCATGCCACATTTCTTCAGGCATATTGCTTTGCAGAAGAGTTGGAGAGAGAAGCTCAGCATTGGGATGATGGGAAAGCTGAAGGGATGTGACCTGTGTTTTTGTCTGTGTAGTGCAGCATAGCCAGAAGCTCGAATGCTGCACATATGTTTATGCCCACAATTTATTCTGCCAACAGAGGTTGCCAAAAGAGAGTCAATAGGGTCAACTGGGTGTATTGCTTCTGCTCTGTGCAAGAAAAAGGGGAAGCTAGATCTGTGGCCAAAGCACACAGTACCACCAGCTGCCGTATTGTAGGTGCCACCGTGTTTGGCTGAACCATGTGTCACATCAACCTGCTGTTCTTCTCATCCCTTGGTGAGGTGATGCCTGTCCACCTTGCCCAGGTGTTTTGTGTGGAGTTCAGGGCACAGCCTGTCATGTGACAGCTTGGATCCCCCTTGGCGTGTGCGTGGTGGGTCCAGTGCCCTTGGCTCTCTTGCTACTCTTCCCCTGAGAGCAGCTGTGGCAGTTGAGCTCTGTGGATCCGTCTGCTATGAGGCTGCAGGACTGGGCTTCTCTGCAGCTGTCTGTGGCATTGGAGCAGTGGAGAAGGAATAGAGAGGACAATAGAAGGATTCTTCCCTTCTCCTGCTTTCCCCTGCAGAAAACCTCACCTGAAATAACATTTGCATCTTGCCCAGGAAATACTGACTTCAAAGCAGATAAATCAAACAAAACCTGCACATTTCCAGGTCAGTTCTTGCATTAACATGGAATTTTTTTTATTAGAAAGTGCTGTTGCAATAAATAATGGAGCTGTAATTCAGCTAGTTTGCCTTCACATTTTCTGTTGGCCTTTTTTTCTCCTCCTGAGCTACTGTGGTGCCTTGCAGGAGACTGTCCTTTCAGAGAATTTGAGCCAGAGAGGTCAAAGGGAGCATGGGCCCTGAGAACTAACTGTAGCTTCTCTGGGGGTCTGCCTTCCACCTCTCCCTTTAATGACTTTGTTTATGTTTCTGTCTTTCAAGAAAAGACAGATAAAAGGAAAGTGCTATTCCTGTCCCCCAAAATAATAACTTCCCACATAAAGTAGACATTTTTTCCTGAATATTTTAGCCAAACCCATTTAGTTGAAAATACAGGATAGAGGGCAATTTCCACCTAATCCAAGATGTTGGCATGAAAGTACTGAGCCCTAAGGTAAGATCAAGAATAAAGTGTGCACAGGTTAGGGTGCAAGCCTTGCATGTGGCCTCCTTGGGCTGTGGAGCCTGGTGGTGTGAGGGGTGAGGACGGTCAGAATAGCTTTCTGCTTCTGGCCATTATCCTCCAAGAAGGTATGTGTCCTGTTTTTGTGGCTGCTCAGAGAAGAAGGTAAATCCAGCCTAACCTTCACCTCCCCTTCTGTTCTACAGACTTGGGCTCATGTGGCAGCAGAGAAGACAGACCCTCAAAGGGTGGTTCACAAAGGGCACTGTGTGCTTCTAGAGATCACCTGAATTAGCAGCATCAAGCTTTATTCTCTGTTTCTGTGTTTCTGGCATGACCTCTGTTTTCAACTAACTTCTCTGCTCCATAGTTTTTCCAAATAAATGACTGTTTCTTAAGAGCTCTGGGGGATTGAAATTGTTGACTTGTAGCATTCACTGAGACAAAAATGCAGAGTTCCATGTTCTTAATAGTTAGCTCTTTACTTCTGTTTTTCAGAACAACGATCTCCTCTGGACGGATTTCCATCAGAAGCTGGTGGATCAGGCACTTCTGACCATGGATACATACCTTGGCCAATTTCCAGATATTAAAGTAAGATTCTCTTTAACCCATTTGATTTACAGAGTCACGGCAGATGAAACCTCAGTTTGTTGTGTCCCCGTTTTCTTTAGGAGGATGTGTGTGCTGTGCTGCTGCAAGCTCTCCTTTTAGAGCAGCCAAGATCTCTGCAGCTCTGGCTCATATGAAAATGTTATGTTCTCCTTTGGGCTTGAAATGAGAGTGAGGAATCCAGGGGAAAGATGCTGAAGAGAAAGCATAAGTGCAGTGGAGAAGGGGCCACAACATTTCTTATTGTATCAGAGTGCCAGAGGGCAGTGTCAGCAATAACTCACAAGTTTGGTCTCTTTCGGTCCTTTTGGTTTTTTAACTTCCTCGTTAAGTACAAAGCATTGAGGAAGCAGCGAGTGGTTAATGTGCTTTATAGGTAGAGGCTGCCGTGGAAAGCAGATTTCTGTGTGTTCCCTGAAGTCCTGCTGGGCATACAACCAGCTGCCTGCAGGGAAGGGGGAATGCTGGGTGGACATCTTTTTGGGGGAGATCATATCCAAGGACCAGGGTTTGAATGATGTCCCATGAGCTTCCTTTCCTCCACACTGCTCTCCTCTCCATTCATTTTGAGAAGGTTATGCAGGAAATGTCTTCACCATATGGAAGCGCTAGTAATGATATCACCATATGGGAAATATCAGCTTGGCTACTTCCCAGTGAAAACAACCCTTTCCCCACCACATGTCTCTTAAAACGTTTGTCAATATTTGTTTTGTCAAGAGGATCGTGATGTATCAAAGAGAGGCAGGTCACAGGCTTGTAAAATAAGCCCTGAACAGCAGTGTCCTTTGCCTCCTAGGACTCCCTGGTTTTGCTTCATTTTTCTAGTCTTTCCATTCCTGGAAGTCTGCAGATGGGAAGAATGAAGAGACTTGATGTTGCTGATCGCTCCCTGTAGTGCCTCAGTTAGTGCAGAGGCTGGTGCACTCCTTCCTGAGCAGAAGGTTTTATTTCAGGCTCACTGGAGACTCAGACTTCTGCACTGCTTCAGTCCAAATCACACTTTACCAGCCTCATTGGCTGTGCACTGGGTCACCTCAGAGTGTCACTTTTTTCCGTGCCGAGGATCTTTGGAGATTCTTAATTCTGTTGCGGTCCCACTGAAGTTTTAGGGTGAGATTTTAAAAGGAGAACAAGCCTGAGGACACCAGAATTTCACCAAATAGTCAAGGTGTTGGGCACTGAGCTCCCATGGGTCCTTTATGACTTCTGAAATGGCTACTAAGGTGTTTATTACTAATGTTCCTTTATCAGTTTGCAGATGATGCTCTAGAAAATAGGAAGTTAAAGCAGTTCTATGGAAAATTTAAGTAATGCTTTAAAGAGAGCAATACTTCTGCTTTCTTTCTTAAAACGAGTGAGACTTTGGCTTTCTGTTGGTTCTTAGAATAAGATATGGATATGTTTCACAAGACTTGGCTCTTTGTTTAAAATGGACTTTGAGTGGAATGAATTTAAAAGGTCAGTATGTTTTTATTGGTAATTCAGCTGGGTGCATCATCCTCCTTACCCCAGAGCAGTGAGAAGTGCTCAGATCCAGAAATGGCTCAAATCAAGTGCATTTTCTTCAACTGGTAGAAACTCCTAGAAGTGCTGTTGTTGAAGGGTGCTACAGCTGTACAGAAGTGTTGTGTGCCTTCACAGAAAGAATTCGAGCTCTTGATGTTGGCAGGGAAAAATCCCCTGGTCTTAGGGAATGTATTTGTTTTTTGTTGTTTTGCTAATACTCTGCTTTTGTGGAAAACAAAAACCAGAAAATATTCTGCTTTTCCTAAATTTCTGGCATTGCTGTGATAATGAAAGATGACGTTTGGAGAGAAGATGATTTGAATTTAGTTATGTGAAGGCCTGTTTTCTGTTAATGGCCCAGTTATTCAAATGTGTGATGAGTTAGATCATACGTGCATTATTTTTTGCTAAATTCAAACACATTCTGAATCCTTCTTCACTGGAAACTTTTCCTTGAATTTTTTGGTCTTACAATGGGATTTACAACAGGAATGTGAAAACTGAGCATTCTTTAGAAAAGAATTTTTATAAGTTAAAGGGAATAATTTTTATATGTTGAATAGGGAGGGATGAACAAAGCTTCTTTATCTTCTCTAACTTGGGAAAAAGGAATGCAAAAAGTACTTTATCCTTTCTTTGAAGGTCAGTATCTATAACTTCCTGGAGTAGGACTCTTGCATAATCTGTAATATTTCTGAGTGAGGTTTTGCTTGAGGTTGCAGAGCACACAACAAAAATACAGGTCTCTGCATCCAGCCCAGAGAAGAGAAACCGTAACACAAGTTCTGAGTAGCTGTGGAATTTGTGATTTCCTGTCTTGCCCTGAAAGTGTTGCCCTGTTTCTACTAGGTTTAAAACCAAATATCAGTAAAGGAGGGGTGCAGGGGAAGTGTTCTGTGGTGTTTTAGGTTTGTTTTTTGTTGTTGTTGGTTTGTTTGTTTGCTTTTAAAGGAAGCTCAAATTAAGATGGTTGCAAAGCAGTAAACTCTGTGGGAGTTCAGCTTGTACCTTCAAATAGTGGTGGGTAGCTGCAGCTATTATAGAACCAGGATAGTCTGCAGCAATGCTTCCTTGGCCCTCTTGCAAGGAATCTACCTTGCAGCCTTCCAAGACTGGGCTGAGTCCCATTAGTGCCATCACAGGCAATCATGTAATCAGGGGTTCCTCTAGGAGGACTTGCATGCAGTGTGTCTGTACTTTGCAGCATTTCCTTGCACTCTAGTAGAAATGTGAGGGTGGGGGTTAAAAGATCCGGAGCAGCCAAAAAGGGCAAAAGTAACCTTGTTTGAGAGATAGGTGACATTCAATCAAACTCCCTGGTGGGGTGGCAGGGAAACCCGAAAGTGGCTGTTTGACATGTCAGAAGTGGGCAAAATGCCCTAGTCTGGCCTGGAGGAAGAATCCTCTCTCTTAAATCCCAGATCCTGCCATGTATTTTATCTGGGGTGTGTGTGTAAGATGCATTAGCTAGCATCTCAGAGGTGGTTGTGCTGCTGGAAGCCCCCTCTGACATCCCGCCTCTGTACCTGGTTGGCAGCGTGATGTCTGGGAGGTGTCTTCTAGTGACCTCCACTGCAGGGTGGCTCAACTTCTGTGGTTCCTCTCTTGGAGCGAGCTGAGAGCTTTGAAAGCAGTTGGGGTGTGCATCTGGCTGAGGCCCTGCAGAGCCACTGTGACTCACACAGAGCTGCACCAGCACTTGGAGCGTGTGTGGGAGACGTGCAGACTGGGCCCAGCTGCTCTGGCGGGAAGATCGGCCCTGAGCGCGGTTTTGCAGCTTATCTGCAGGAGCCTGGGGAGAGGAGACCACAGCTCCCTGCCAAGGGCACTGGAGGGGGAGGTTTTGCTTTTGCAACTAAATCCTAATGCTGATTCTTCATCTTACACTTTCAATTTCCCTGGGTGCTGTGGTTAACTAGAAACCCTCCTGGCTCCTTGCCATCCCTTTTCACTCTGGTTCTCCAGCCTGTGTCTAGACTGCTGATCACTCTGAGCTGGGGGGGTGCTCGGGTCGGGCTGGGAAGACTCCAACCCAGATAGTCTGGGGTGTTTGTAGAGAGCGTGGGAGGCAAGTGTCTAAAGAGGATGGATGGTTCCTAAAACAGGGTAGCCCAGTGGGTCTGAGGCTTGTTGAGATGAAACTCTGCTGGGGAAGAGAGACAAAGGCACCTCAGATGAAAAATGGTAATGGAGGATCAAGCCACAGGGCTGGGCGTCTATTCTGGTTTCTCATCCATGGACTTGTATGGATTTTGTTCCTGAACACAAGTCTGGTACACAGCTGGCTTCCTCCTTGTGTTTGTTACAGCTTCAGTGTATCTTGCCTACTAGTGGCACAGTACTACAGGTTTTCCCTCACACTCCTCTTGCTTAAAAGCTAGTTACAGTGGGCTGCTGCTTGTACCTGTGATCACTTCTGTCTGGACCTCCTGCTGTAGGGTCCAAAAAGCTGCTGTAGGCATACCTTGAGCATGTAGATGAATGCTTTTGCTGTGTTGACAACAGAAATGCCTTCTTTTGTTGAACTTAATCTTTTGAGCTTCCACACAAGTCTAGTCTGGCTGCAGCCCTCAGGAAGCCCTGAAAATGATGAAGCAGATGCTCGTAGGATGCAGGCACATGGGGGAGGCTTAGGAAGCACTGGGGCTACAGTTCTGAAAACATCAGTGTCATCCAGAGGTGATGGCTGTTGTTGTTTGGAACCCTTTGCTTTACCTGGCTGGGTCTGCTCTCCTCCTGAGGACTTCCCTCTAGAATGGTCATTGTCACAGGTGGCTCCCAGGGCCACCTCTCTGGGTAGCCTGTGTGGAGTATCCAGTAAGCATTTTGTGTGGGCAGAGCATGGGGTGCTCTGGAAGTCAGGTAAGGAGGAGGGGGGCTTTCCTGAGAGCCTTTGTGGTTTTGGCTGCTGGGGAAGACTGTTAAAACTGTTTTTCTCTGTCTTTCTTAGTCTCGTATAGCGAAGCGAGGAAGGAAGCTTGTGGATTACGACAGTGCAAGGCACCACTTTGAAGCTCTGCAAACTGCAAAGAAGAAGGATGAAACCAAAATAGCAAAGGTAAAGCAAGTAGAAAGATGTGCAGCCATCCTTTCGTTTTGGGAAGTCGGCATTTGCCTGCTGAGGAGATTTGAAGTGCACCTGTACATCTTCACTGGCTGTGTTTTCATTGGAAATGAAATAATTCAGGTTGGAAAGGACCTTTAAGATCAATGAGGTGTCATGAACCAGGGAGGTTTTGCGAGGCATTTCCGTATGCGTTTAGTTCTCCTAGAAGACAGGATGGTCTCTGTGTTGGTTCAGACCCAACATCGTCACCAGTCTGCATCTCTTGGTGGCCAAGGCGTAGGCTTGCATTTCCTCAGATGCTGCAAGACCAGTAACTTCTGTTAAAAAAGCCCACGTGCCTCTGGAAGAAGCAAAACCTTGCAGTACCCTGGAAAAATTTTCCATTTTGTGTGATTCTTGGGGCTCTGTCTCCCCATCGTAGAGCAATGGTGAGAGTAAGTGTTTAACTGTTGCTTGAAACTGGCTGTGTTTGTGAAGTCCTCTGATGTTCTAGGACAGAGATCCTTAGGAGTGTGAGTTAAAAGTTCAGTGGTGGAATGGCACCCTATGCACTGTGTTCCATGACTCTGTTCTGTTGTCTGTTGATCACAGTTACTGGATAATAATACATCTGAAGGCAGAAACCCAAGAGTTTTTTTTCTTGTCAGGTTGTGGTTTCTTTCATGCCTGTGAACAGCTTGATCCAGGGTTAACTGCAGATCATGCCCAACATGCAAGTCTCATTAAAAATAAAATGCAGATTTTCGTTTAAATGTAGCTGAAGGAAGGTCATAGTGTTAACCTTGTTCTAGAGGAGGCACATGGTGCACTCCCCTGCCCAGAAAATGAGCTGTGGGTTACTCCTGTACCCTGAGTGGATTTGTACACGTGCTCCACTCCACAGGACAGGTCTTGACACAACAGAATCCAGGGCTGGGGAGCGATCTTTAATATTACTGAATGTGGGCCATGACATGTCAGGACTCTTTAGGCTAGAAGCAGTGCAGGAAAGAATGAGTCTGGATTTGTGTCTTTTAACCGGGCTGAGGAGAGTTGTCATCCTTTGCTTAGAGTTATTCCTGGCAGGGGCACACGTGGGCTATGTGAGAGACACTAGTGTTTCTCCTGTGTGGAAGAAATAAAGATTCATCTCTCCCTGAGTGAAAGATCTGCATTTAATGGCAACAGTACTTTTATTTTTAAGCTGCAGGTCACCAGTCGTCTGTTCACCCAGTGCATGCACTGTGATTCAGCTTGAGAAAGGGGAAAGAGACTGATGGCTCAGGTGTTGTTGCATCATTTGTGTGGCAAAGCAAGTCTTGGTTCTGTATGCAAGGCGTGAGGCCCAGCTGGTTGTGCCTTCTGTTCAAAGCAGTACTTCACTGTGTTTGGGGGTAAGAGCAGAATTTCCATGAGGTGTGGTATTATTATTATGTGCCTGGAGGATCTTTGCTGCAGTGCAAATAGCGTTTGTAGGAATTCATTTACTCAGGTTGATACCCGATGATCTGCACCAGAGGCTGGCTACCTTCATCATTGCTGCACTTGCTCTTGTTGCCCTAAATGCTCACATGAGGTGTTATTAACAAGAAATTATTGCTCTTCTATTAAAGTATGAAGAACAGTGCAGTTTGAAGAGTGAAATGTTGAGGTCTAGGAGTTGGTGTTCTGTTCCTGATTCAGCCTGTGCAAGCATCTCTTAGTACTTGATCATACACTTCTCATTAGCCAAAATGTGCCTTGGATCAGACCTTTCTCTTCTGTGTTTAGGCCATAAGGTCGCACAGAGGATAATATATGACATGTTGCACTGTCCTGATCCTGTCAAAATGGGAGCAGTGAGCCCCCCAAAGTTACATAGATATGCTTTTCCCAAATGGGCAGGTTTCACAGCCCAGCCCCTGCTCCCGCACTTGGAGTCAGGCAGCTCTGCAGAGCTGTGGGCAGGAGCCAGGGCTCAGCATGCACTAGGCTGGCAAAAGAAGTTCACCTCTCTGGTCCTGTGGCTGATTTTGCTCATGTGATGGCTGAAGTAGGGCTGTTCCTGGGTTTAAGACACTTTAGTATATGATAACTGGCCCTAGGATAATAATTTTTATGACACAGCGTACAAATGGGAACTGACTTGATTAATGTTTCATGGCATAGTAACAGTAACTGTAATGTGAATACCTTTTGGAGCTATATGGTCATTTTATTTCTTCTCTAATATATGGCTATTCTTTTCCTACCCAGGATTCCTTCCACTTATTACTAAACTCACAACTCGCCTTTAAAATGAAGCTCCTTGGACTTTCAGCTGTTGCATGCAAATAATTATGATGGTTAATTAATCCTGACCTCTCTTTAAGGAGCTCCCGTTTCACAGCCATGACTTGGAGCAGGGTTGTCTGTGTGCTAGGTCACTAACAACTCTATCTGTTGCTCTTTGTAGCTGCCTGGCTGGTCTGCAGTATCCCAGCCCACACTGGAGCATTAATTACTGCTAAAGTTGGCATGCTTCAAAGGATTCATAACTGATCGGTCCCAGGATGTTTGTTTTTCCTTTTGCCTTGGGGATACTAGTTTGGCCCAGCCTCTAAATACACTCTCTGTTGTGATTTTAATTTTTTTTAATCCTAAAAGATATATGTTTGTGTCTCTTGTTCTCTTTTTTTTCTGTTTTCACTCAAACATGCTCCCTCTCCCAGCCTGTTTCGCTGCTTGAGAAAGCCGCGCCTCAGTGGTGTCAAGGGAAGCTACAAGCTCACCTCGTTGCACAAACTAATCTGCTCCGAAATCAGGTGACTGCTGATCTACCTGCCTCTAACCCTGCATGTGCTATTTTGGGCTCTAGATTGTACCAAGCAACTAATCTCTAGGCAACGTTCACTCTAGTCCCCTCTGTTCAGTGTGTCCTTGATGCTCCCGAGGCACAGTGGACATGTGGAAGTTGCTGACCAGTTAATGAATCTGTGCCTGCCCTCTTCAGTTTTATTCAGGTTTTGTTTTCTCCCACTAAAATGAAATGAGAATGAAGGCTATGGAATAATGCCAAGGCAGAAGGTGATGTAGTGTAGTTCCTCCATTTACTTCTTTATTTTTCTTTTAAGAGAAACAGTAAATTTTTACTGTTATTGTTTCAAAAAAAAGAAAAAAAAGGAAACACTGAAAATTTGGCTTCTGCATTTGTGCTGTTGAGTAAAGCCAGAACAAAACATTGTTTCTTCAAAAGCAATTTCTATGGCTGTTGAGTTAGGCTGTAACATTCTCCTGTGGTAAGACCCAAGTTTCCAAAATGGGCAGTGTCCTAGCTCTTGAGGTCTATAAGAGCTGTTTCCAGCCATACAGAGTTTGTTTGCACAGAAGAGGTGGGCCCAGACCAAGGGATTTACACCCTGTGTAATATATTTGAGCAGCTCCAGGTTGAAATCATGGTTGCATCATGTGGCAGAACTTGGCCAAACGTTTAGGTTATAGCATCTTGAGGGACATGGGAGCAGCTCAGAAAAACTGCAAGGACTGGGAATCCTACTTGCATAGGAGAAGTGTGGCTTCCTGATGAAATCTCCCTTGGTATTTACCTTTGAGCTCCTGAGTGATAAAAGGCATCTGACAGAAAACAGACAGTGAGAAGAAATGCTTTCAATGGGCAGGGGCTAGTAAATCACTACCTAGACTGGGAGAGTGCCAGTTACCTGCTCACAAGCTCCAGGTGAGCTCATCTGTTCTCATTCAAATGCTCTGACGTTTTCACATTCCTTGTCAGTGAATGAATTGCAGTTTAGAAACACTAAATGGCTCTCACCTTATAAAAACCTGGGTTTTCCACTGTCGGTTTATGACTAGAGATCAGGGAAAAGACTGGATTACCACATCAGTACAGCCTGGGGAGAGAACAGCCGTGAGCCCTCCTGCCTGAGCTGCATGGCAAAGGGAGGAAAAGTATATTCATTCTTGACTGAGGGGAGAAGGCCATTTGGCCACCTGCCAGGGCCTTTTCCACCCTGCTGGGAACAATCTGCAGGGTTGGTTTGGGTCCTTGACTGGTCTGTTTGGCTGGTGGTATTTCTGGAGGACTAGAAAGCAGGTATGGGAAGTTTCTGAAGCCACAAATTAAGAAATCAGCTCTTGGGGCATTTTTCCTCTTCTCAGACTGGCTGAGGTGACAGGGAGTATTTGCCTAGACAAGCATTATGTATGAGTGCTCCCTCATCCATTGCACTGTCATCTTAGAAGGGTTATAGAGAGTAATTTCACTGTACTGGGTGGCTTTGTCCTAAAGCAGGTGACAAGTGGGGTGTGCAATCCTTCCACCTGCTGTGTTGTGGGGGTGTTAACCTCCTGCTAAGTGCATTAATATTTTCAGTCACCTCAGATGCTTTCAAAATGAGTTAAGTCCTCCTGTGAGTTTTTCCTCTTTAATTCTTGGACTAAATAATACTATGGCCAACCTTAGTTTTTTGTTTCAACTTGTGCAAGTCTTTGGGGTTTGGTGTTTTTTGGTTTGTTTTAATTTTTAGTTTGATTGGAGACTAACAAAAAAAATCTCAGTAAAGAAGATTAGTTTCTATTCTGAACCTGTGGGTTTTCCAGCCTTTCCTCACAAACATCAGCAGGCAGGAGAAAAAAGGCTTGTTTTCTATTTGCATATACTACATTTATTGAAGAGCTTCAGAATGTTAAGCCTAAAAGAAAAAGTCCTTCCCCTTACCAGCAGCTTTGTTGCTGCCCCTTCTTATCTGATAATTTTACAACCTCCAAGTGAAAATGGGGTCAGCAAGACCAATTATTTCTACTTTAAAACCAACTCCCTTCCTCCAGGGTGCAAACTGCTGACTTTTTAGACCTTTAGCAGTTAACTAGCAATAACAGTGCAGTGGGGGTTTTCTGTGAAGTCTCCTGGGCAGTTTGCTATTGCGTGCTCTCAGTTACAAATTTTGGTGACTGCACTTTTTGAAACAAAAGGGGAGAATAGCTTACAGCAGCAAATGCTTGGGGTTTTTTTGCTAAGATCTCCTGAAATGTTAAGTACAGACTAAAAAGCAACACCCTTGGTGCTGCAGTAATAACAGAAGAGTATCTGTGTCAGTAGGAGAAAGCCAACAAGTTGCTGCCCTTCTGAGAGGCAGGTCTGGCTGGGACTGCTGGGGGCTTGGGCCTGGGATGGGGTGCTCAACTCTCCTCTTTACCCCTGCCTCATGGGCAGTGCATAATTACCACAGTTCACAGCATAGTGTTTGAAGAGAAATGGTCACCAGCTTGCCTGCAAGCACCGGGCTGGATATTGCCAGGCACTCATGAGTGCTGGGATCCACAGTGGTAGCCCATGTACTGGAGAATAACTCAGTACACTGGGAGGGGTTGGCACTCTGAGCCTTGGCTATGGGGAGAGTCAGGAAAGCATTTGTGTTGTCCAGCTCCTCATGAGAAGATCCCTGGACTGACAAAGGAGTGAAGAATTAATTCAGTGCCACCTGTGGGACTGAGAGCAGTACCTGAGCCACAGGCAGTAGGTGGATCCCTGATTCCTACAGCTGCTCTAGAGTGAACGTTGCCTGTTGCTGACTTCTGCCTTTGCCTCGGGATGTCACAATATTCACACATTGCTTTCTAGGTTCTCTGACCTTCTGAACAGGTAAAACAGAGAGGGAAACACTTATTAATATCCACTGTACGTGAAAAACTAACAGCATTCAGTGATGCCTCATCTCCCAGCTATCCCATCTTCTGGCTTGATTCTGGTTCCAGTCTAGTTTGGAAATTAGAATAAGATAAAGCCAAAAGGCAAGAATGTTTTCTTCTCCCTTTAAAACGGTTACACTGGAAACGTTCATTTGTAGAGGGATTTTAAGGCAGAATGAGTCTTTGTGATCGTCATCTCTGACCCAGCATAAACTGTGCCTCTGTTTAAATGGGCTTGTTGTTTGTTCTCTGCAACCTCTCTCAAAATGTTGGGTTTTTCAGTGAGTGCGTAGCAGTGAAATACAGGGGTTTCTGAGTGGAAGCATCATGGCACCTTCTCCCTCTGCCTATTCCTCACAAAGTCTGCTTACCTTTTGAATACCTTCCAGTTGCATCTTATTCTGGGGGAAATTTTTATCTTCTGATTTTGAGTACAAACTCAGCCTTGCCTTGGCAGCAATGAGTGACTTTGAAAGGTGGGGCTAGCTGAAAAGTAGGAGCTTCTGTGGCTTGCTTTTAAGTCAGGAAAGAAATGGAGAGTGTAAGGATCCTACGCAACACTGTGAGGAACAGGACTCTGAATAGCAAATTATTTTTAAGCCCTTTCTCCTGTCAATCCTATCTTTGCATATACCTGTCACTAAGGAGCAGTCAGCTGGATTTCTTTAAGCTGTCACAAAGAAGATAAAACTTCATTTTGTAGAAGGGGTAGGAATCTGACTGCAAGCTGGTAGAGAGATCCAGTTCCCCAGTGGTTTGCGGGCTTTTTGCAGAGCCCTGTGGCGTTGTGACATTTCT